CCGTAAAGTGCCTTGTTTACTTGCAGTATCGTGCCGGGCTTCTGATAGCCTCGTGGCATCCTCATGTAGACCTCTCTGTCCATTGTAGCATGAACAAACGCGTTGGTAACGTCGTATTGTTTGAGCTCCATGTTATAGTGAGCTGCCATAGCCATCATCGTTCGAAAGGATCGGCTGGCAAGCGTGGCTGCGTAGGTGTCTTGTGATGTAATATTGCGTTGTTGATCGCCTCTGACTACCAGTCGCGCCTTGCACTTCAGCAGTTAATAATGTCTATTAAGTTTATAGGTATATACCCACATGCAGTCAAGGATCTGTTGTCCTGTCAGTCTGATTTTCTGAAGTGGTACTTCTAACCATGATTTCATTTCTTAGTGGCTTGTAAGGTGCTCTCGCTCGGCTTCTTGAAAGAGTTTACCCATAGGGTGATCCTCAAGCTTAGTTTAGAACGTGGGCAGAGGTGGAAGTTGACTTTGATGGGGCTTCAAGCCTTTAGCGAGCATTCTTATCATCTTAGCCTTGTCTATGACTTCTCCTCTGTATGTTCCAACACGTCCAGCTTGGGTTCCCACAAGGAATGATGCTGCCCACAGGACAGTAGTTAAGGACGCTTGTTGCGTCAGAGTTGTTTGATCACTGGCCATAATGCCTGCAAGTAGTGCTGCAGGTGGCGGTGTTGATAGAGGGGTAGGATAGCTATCCTGTATCTTCCGTCCGTGATAGTAGCCTGGCGGGTCTGCTTCGTCTTGTGGTGACAGCTCTGCTAGGGCTTCATCCTCATAAAAGGAATCTGTTTCTAGTTGCTAGGTAGGCGTTAGTAGCTTAATAGATCGCACATGTGTTGCTATTTCTTCAAGTGTGTTGTGCATGAGGTTCTCTATAAGGTCCTCAATTCTCCTGTTAAATACTGTGTCTTTGTTAAACACAATATCTTGAGTGCTTATTACCTTGCTGAGTGACAGTATCCAGATTTAATAGATATTTAACAACTAGTAGCCCACTAGATAGCCAATCTAGGCCTTCGGGTCTAGTTGTTGAAGACGTGATTTGCCTCTGTGTGTGTCGTCTGTTATGGCAAACGCTTTGCACCTGTATGCTCTTAGGTGCGCAAGGTTAGGTTTTCGCAGTAATGTCACTATTCTGTTGCTAAAGGCAACTCGCGTAAAGAATATTTCGTATGGTGTTTTCCAATAGTTTGCGTAGTTCGGCGTTTGATTGTAGAGGTATACTGCTGCCCTCGTGATTTCTGGCCACAGTTCCCAGGAGAGGTTGGCATCAAGTCGCATCGCGCGAGCTTTCTCCTTGTTCACACCCCCTGAGCGTTCTGCGTTACCGTTCTGTGCTTGTGTGTCTGGCGCTGAAGGCTCCACAATAATTCCTTGTGTTGCCAGCCATTTCAATACGCCTGGTTTGACTGTGGCTATCTCGTTGTCTGCCTCAATAGTCTTGACTGAGATGTTGTAGTGATTTTTCAAGAACAGGATAAATGTTGACAGTGCCTTGATAATTGACTTCGCTGTGCAATGATCTGTGAAGTAGAGGTCCCACTGTAGGCCTGAGAACCTGTCAGTGATGAGCATCTGGCTCTTTTCTTTAGTAACTCCTTGTACTTCGTAGGAGTGGAAGTCAACGCTGAGTCTTTCTCCAGGTCCGTCATTGTTGATTCTTGGTGCGCGGCTGATTTGCCGTCGCGATTTGGCTATTCCACAAGCGTTGCATTTGACTGTAG